ATCAAAGTAGCAGAAAGTCGAGGGGTGGGGAAGAGAAGAGTGATGCACAGATGTAAAAGAGGCAGACAGACAAAAGGTTGAGATAAAGGTAAGGTGAGTACTGTGAAAGGGGTCGAATATAACAACCAGGGGGGCCATGGTAGTTTGAAGTCAGAAGTCAAATGCCGGTTAATAGACCCTTTTGCCATATGTGGATACGTTGCCCAGGGTGCACCACGTGGAGGTAAGTCTAAATATACATTGCCCAGGGTGCACCACGGAGGTAAGCCGAATGAGAATACGTTGCCCAGGGTGCACCACGTGGAGGTAAGGTGTAGTATACATTGCCCAGGGTGCGCCACGTGGAGGTAAGACCGTATGATTATACGTTGGCCAGGGTGCACCACGTGGAGGTACCTTTTGCGGTATGAGTATACATTGCCCAGGGTGCACCACGTGGAGGTAGCCGAATGAGAATACGTTGCCCAGGGTGCACCACGTGGAGGTAAGGTGTAGTATACATTGCCCAGGGTGCGCCACGTGGAGGTAAGCCCGTATGAGTATACGTTGCCCAGGCCGTTTGAGTATACGTTGTCCAGGGTGCACCACCTGGAGGTAAGTCTATCGTGAGTATACGTTGCCCAGGGTGCACCACGTGGAGGTGTATGAGTATACATTGCCCAGGGTGCACCACGTGGAGGTAGCCGAATGAGAATACGTTGCCCAGGGTGCACCACGTGGAGGTAAGGTGTAGTATACATTGCCCAGGGTGCGCCACGTGGAGGTAAGACCGTATGATTATACGTTGGCCAGGGTGCACCACGTGGAGGCCGTATGGGTATACGTTGCCCAGGCTGCACCACGTGGAGGTAAGTTTATAAGTCTATTGCACACCCCATGATACCTATCATAACGCCTGCCATTTGAAAGTACGTTGTCCAGGGTGCACCACGTGGAGGTAAGTCTATCGTATTCTTAAGAATAATTGTTTAGAAAACCAGCAAGGGTTGAAAGTTGCCCAGGGTGCACCACGTGGAGGTAAGTCTATCGCACGCTGTCCAGGGTGCACCACGTGGAGGTAAGTCTATCGCACACACCCCTCCGCTTCCAAATAAGATGTTGATAGTGAAGGCATATTTCCAGGGTGCACCACGTGGAGGTAAGTCTATCGCACACCCACTTGGCTCTCCCCTCAAATTTCAACCCTACACGGATGGGCTAAAATTAATCATTTTAATCAACAAAAACGATTAGGTCAAATTTCTTACATTAAATAAACAGCGGAAGGTTTATTAAATATTACGACTCTTTTCGTTTAAAAAAACCAATTTCGAAATGGAAGCAGCAACTTGTAACCTCTAGGCAAGCACTGGCACTGCCCTCTAACATCCACCACGACTGGGATGAGCACACCTAATATTTAATACTTTTATTGGTTGGTTCATTCATATTGTTTCGATTTCATTTTCTTTAGTTCAGTTTATGTAAACTTCATTCATTTATAATACTTAAGTATTTGGGTTCAGTTTGTGTCCGGACATAGTAAAGGATACAACTCTGAAAGTTTTCTTCCTAATAGACAAAATTTTCAATATTTTTTATTTGACAATAGATTTCACTTTATTGCTTAAATAAAAATGCCCAACTCCTAAGCAGACAGACACTACATGATACTTTTCTTTCAACGGGGATTGAACGTCGTAGTGCTACTAAGGCTGTTGGTGAAATTTATAGTCACGTGAGTATGATGAGGCGACATCAATTTTGGCTTAAAACATTTAAATCAGGCAATAGGAATTTAAATTGTGCTTCAAAATGCGTGCTACTAACAGTTTGTGATGATGACGTACTAAAGTTTCAGGATGAATCAGACTTTCTGTTAACGTACAGTAATTATGCCAGAAACTTGCATATCCTTGGTCACCTGTACAATTTCCTTCGTAGCGCGTAGGCAAATAAATATGGATTGGAATTTGGGAACCGCCACATCAACTCTTCAAGAATAACAAAATGAGAGGTGAAACTCGTGCATTCCTCTGTTGCCTTGACACCCATTCTACCCCCCCCCCCCCACAACCACCACTAAAGCCAAGTCAGGAGGAGCCTTTCGAAAACTTCCTTTGGGCATTTGATGCCTTGTACGTGGAATATTCCATTGGTAATTGCCAGAACCGAGTGAAACAGTTGCAGTCGAAGTTTATTGTTATCGACACTTTGAGATCTGAGACAAGAAATTGAAAGGCAAAGCTACAAAAATTTAGCTAAAAGGGATAATTCCTCCAGTTGACAATGCCGCACTTCACTCTACAGAGCAAGAATGGCCTCCAAACTATTCAAGAATCAAATTTGTCGGTTCCATCAAATCTATTCGACAAATCTCGCATCTTTCGATCATCACCTTTTCAGGTGAAGGGGCTTACTCAAAGCGAAAATCGAACTGGAAACAAAAATGAATTGAAAACCGCTTGAAGGACTGATTAAATAAAAAAGTATAGGTTTTTTTCTAAATCTTGAAAGACAAACTACAAAAGTGATGGTGTACATAATATTTTGTTTCATCATATTTCTAATTTAAAATCAATTATACTTTAATGTCGCATTTAGGATGAACAATTTCTTATTGGTACCCCTAACCATATTAGCAAAGCAAATTTGTTTTTTTTTCCAAATTTTACTCAAAGAAGCTATCAAAAAAAGAAGATTTCAAAAGTGATTTGACAAAGAATGGATGGGTTGAACAGAGACTATGAAAGTTGTTCACTGCTAAAGTTACTTCATTCCATCCTATTTTTCTTCCTTCCACTTATTTTCCAAAATTCAAATTTCAAGATTTGACCATTGGATATTTCTATTTGCTTAGTTAATTCAAGGGAATGATTGGTTAATTTATCCTGTGATATACTTGATGCTTTTGATAAAGCAAGAACGGAGAGGTAAGGCTAAGTTATAAGTGCACTAATTGTTCAAATGCACAATTAGTAAACCGCTTTCCAATACCCATCTTTGGTTGAGTGTAGCTCACTAAAACTTTTACCTAGTTAGCACCGGTAGCAACATTTAGAAACTTTGAATAAATCCCATTTCCCATTAGTGAACAAAAATAAGACTCAATTTTTTTGAGTTCAACTGTCTTAATTTATATTATAGTCTGTTTTAAAAGGCATGTTCAAGAGGTATTCATATCCTCAATTATTTTACTCCAAAGTCTACAATTTTCCAAATGATAGAGTAGGTGTTATCTCTCACTGTATTTCTGTCAATGAGTCTTTTTCCTCTTCCATATCGAAAATTCTGAAGTTAGTTAAAAAAGAAATTTACCATAAGCTTCAATCCAATTTCTGCTAACCCCTTAGAAGACAATACTACTGACTCTCTTTCCTCAATTTAAAGGTCGATTTAAGTATATGTAATCCTTCCATTGAGTTTCGCAATAGCACTTCATAACGCCGTTCTTTGACATCATAGCATTCTTCCAGTGACAGTATCAACTTGACCTGCACCAAGAATTCGAGAAATTTCAAAGTTTCTACCCGATATAATTAGGTACTATGTGGTTACTATGGAGATTTTACTACCGACTAATAGTAAATTCGTAATGTGCTCTTCATTTAGATTTAGGTTTGATGTTCTTTAACAGATTTGTAGTTATATTCTGAGTTGTACTTTAGCTAAAGTAATAACCTTGACTCATTTGATTCCCCATTAGAGACCTTACCTAACTGGAATTTGAACTTTAGAGCATTTAAACAAATCAATATTGATCTGACTGCAACATACGTCAGCGTTTTATGCTTTTATTTTGGCTAAAGTACCGAAGGTACTTAAATAAATTGGGATTGTGATTGGTTTATCGATATGTGCGCGCGTATCACCGGCGCATTCTGATTGGTCAACCTGTTGTTGAATGGCTGCGTTTGACCCTAAAGAGGTGAACGACATACAAAATTTGGAATTAACACATTATTTTCGTAATTTCTTATCTCTGAACTTCTCCTGGTTTCTATTTTATCTCAAAGTTTAATATTTTTAATTACCTATAATTTCGTCTTTTATTTGGATGTAATATGCTTGAATTCATGGCATTAGGAATGCTCTTTTTTGATATATTTTTCCTTTTGTCACTATTTCATTGTTTAGGCACATAGAAAAAGATATTTGCTTGCCTCAAGCTGTCGTACCAGTTAATTGTACTCATGATATCAGTTCAGCTTATGCTATTATTATAATGATATCTGCTCAAAATGAACCAGGAATCTGAAGTGCTTAAATAGGTTAAGAGATTGCGGTTTCTTTTCGTTTTCGACTTTTCGAATTACCTTCAATGTTAATGAGTTCATTTGAAGGGTTCACGCGCTATGTGCGTGGGTATAACCTCACGTGTACTACCGCACTTAACGCACGCATACGTCAGCACTTGGACGCACGCTTACTAGCTTAGAGATATTAGTTAGCACAAAACGCGGGAAACATCTGTATAGACAAACGCCAGGGTCGCGCGTACTTTGGTTAACGGTCATTCTTTGTGAGATTCAAAGCTAATCCTCTACAATTGGTAATATTTATCGAATTTTTTTTATGCAGATTAAGGATTCTTCTCCGTAAAATTGGAATATTGATCTTCATTTGTCTGTATCATTGCGTCAAGACAATATCCCAAATTTCTCCTTAATTGATTTCGTCCATTGTGGAAGATGTCTTCCAACAACAAATATCGAGTTGGAGGTAGTTTTCACTTTCTAAAGTTATTTAATTGCCTCGTTGGTTTCAATATGCCAATTAGTGACTAAGCAATCATGTGGCATCCTTCGCCCTTGTGTTGCATGTCCCTTTACCTTTAAGAGCCTCATTTTTTAAATGCTTATTCATAATTTAAAATTGCCTAGAGTATTAGTCATGAATTCATAATATTTCAATGTTATTTGATCGGGCTTCTTTCATTTGCCTTTAAATGGTACATTTCATAACATTTCTAAATAAATATGAGGCTCCGAAAGGTAACAATGAGTGGGGTCATTCTCCAACATTTGAACATTGGATGAATCTGAATTGCTTTTATGTACTTTAAAAAATATCGTTTGATTTTATGATGAAAAATCCCACCTGGTAGTATTCCTTTGAGTGTTTTTAGCTGCTTTTGATATGGTTATTGAAGAATCAGTGTTTCTTTTTTGGTTAGTGAAATATTGTGCCTAAAACGCTCGTTTCCTTTTAGACTTCGTTTACTTTGAAACAAATGCAACCGCTCCTTATCAAATACGACGGCTTGATGAACTCATCATGGTAAATCAGTGATGACTCAAATTGCTCTTCATTTCTGAGTCCTTATAGCATTCAATTTATTTCTATTTTTAGACCCCAAATGGCGTGGAAGCCAAAGTGACATGTTACTATCGCCGTCGTGACATATCAAACCACTTAATCCAACAAGCTGAAAAATATTGTGAGTACCCTCTGTTCCCTTGAACTTAATTTCTTGCGCTCAATCAATTTTTCTCACTTTTTCAGCCCATTTCATCATAGACTTCCACGAGGCTGACGGAGAAAACGGCGAACCTCTTTCCGAACTCGAACGGCATCAAGTCAAACACAGAGAGCTCTTTTATTCTCGCCATACTGAAACCTTGCCTGCGACACATATTCGTGGTGAGTAATCATCATTTATGGCTTCTACAATCAAGGGAACTGTATTTTGTGTTAACATCTTTGATTTTAGGAAAGTGTGCTGTTACGCTTTACAGTGATGTGGAACCGTTTACTTCCTATGTAAATAAAGAGGACTTATTCTATTACCGTCTCATCTATGATCCGACAACTAAAAAGCTCTCTGAGGATCGTGGCTCCATGCGTATTGGGTCAGATTTCCAGTGTGACATTCAGCCTTTGCTAACTAAGAGTGATGAAGATCCTCGTTTCAAAGAAACCTGGGAGGAGCTTCAATGGGACCCCAAGAATGCTCTCTCGTGCTCAGAAGTTGATTCCTTTTCTACCGCGGCCAAAGGAGTCGGTCTTTATGGACGGGCTTGTGATCCGTCAACCTCTCTTCAGAATCCCTACCTCATGAATGCTGCTTCGGCGGCTAGTCGAGATATCACCCTCCAATTTGCTCATGATTGTCTCTTTAAAGCTGGTTTTGATGTTAGAAATGCCATGTCCCTGCTTCTACCCGGTAAACCTTATTTTCATTACTTTACAAAAGAGTCATTTTGTAGATGGGATTGTATTTTACGCCTGATATTTACCAAGAAGCAGCTATTAGTTCATAATTGTGTTTAATCTAGAGTAAATTTTTATTTCCAGTTCGTAGTGGTAGATCTTAATTTCTTCTTATTGCAACATCTTTTCTGACAAAATAGCTTTCCAGTGGTCTCACATGATGTCTTTTCTTTTTAACGTTTGAAGTGTACCGTTCCTATTGAAGAAGGAAATCCATAGCTTAAGAAAATGAAGTAATGTTTCACTTTCGTTTCTTTCTTTAGATATGGCCTCACATGTGGCTTCTTAGTTCATTGTGTCATAGAAGTCGAAACTTTCTTTTTTGTTGAAATTTACCTCTTACATTTCCCTTGGGAATATTTTGCACGTCATGCTTCTGCTAGAGTTTGTCCTGGGATTAATCTTACTTTATTCATGTCAGCTGCTATCAGAGCCCATTAGCACTCCGGAAAATTCGTAATAATAGATTTGTTCAGAAATGTTAATCGATATTAATTGATCGGATATTCACCCCAAATCTCAACTGTGATTCCTTTACCATATGTCGATTCTTCTTTCGGGCTACTGTTTTTTTTGAAAACCTATACCAACGGAGTTTTTATTTCACCTAATCTTTATGTTATACCTCATTGCTTGACTTCTATTTTTATCTCCTCCCTCTAGATGGTCATCCTGTTGTGTGCAGAGATGAGTTAGAAGCTTGGTCTTTCCACGAATGTGCTCTTTTCGAAGGTGCGCTGGAGAAGTACTCCAAAATCTTCCCTGACATTATAACTGATGTTCTGCCTTGGAAGACTTCCAAATCTATTGTGGAATTTTATTATTTCTGGAAGACTACAGAGCGTTATACACGTCGCAGGAAAGAAAAGATGGTAGCTAAGGACTCGAGGCTGAAGCAGGTCTATATTCCGGATTATAGTAAACCTAATTCCTCGGTTCTCTACAGCCGCACGGATGGCACCGAACGAGGTTGTGAATGTTGCCTTGGTGAGTTTTTGAATTTTTGATTGGTATTACTTCGGCGTTCTTTTGAATACCTTATTCTTGGATTCTGAGCTCTTTAGAAAGATTTTATTGGGCTGTTAGTTTGTGCAAATCCTGTTGCATACGGGTAGTTAGTTTTGAGCCATAATTCATTCGATTTGAGGGTATTTGGTGAGCATCGTTGTAATAACTGGTTGATACTATGAAAAACTTGGCTTGCATATTTTTCTCAGATATTCGTCAACAACCTTTTTCCCTCATATGCAAGTTTAATCGCATCGATTTTGTAAGCGTTTAACTGCCCCTATTGCTAATATCCACAGCACCTCAGTGTGTAGAACTTTAAGTGAAAAGTCTATCTACAGATGAATAGCTCGGGATACTACTCTGTTATTGTTCGGACTCCCCAAGTTAATTCCATCTAACGAAATGGCAACTGTCCACTTGCTAGGTCTAAATACTTTTTTTGGTCAGCCCACTTCAACAAAATTTTGCTTTATTATAAATGTTATATCATTTATTTTTTCTTTTTATATGACTTAAGTTGATAAATGTAGACGTCAGAGGTTTCAACCTTGAAAAGTGCAGATTCTCGATAGATTCCTTTGAACGACTTTTTTAATCGTGTTTCTCACAAGCCAGTCATAATTCGTTGGAATTTTGAAATTGAAAGTGCACAAACTTATAGTTTTATGTAAGTGTATATCACGGGTTGACATATTGGTTAGTTACAATTGATAAACTTTTATTCTCTTAATGATAGTGAGATGCAACCATACATTTATAAGTACATTAGTTTCTAGGATTTTATGGAGGCGTTCTGGGTACGGAGCGCTGCAGGTGGAATTAACTAAAAGTTGTACGAGTAATGATTGGTAAACTCTCTATGTAATCCGTTGAATTGTTTACTCATTCTTATTTGCAGTTGGTACATCTGTCCAATGGTACGCCTGGGGTCCACCCACACTTATGTGTCGTCTTTGTTCCGGTTGTTGGATGTACTGGAAGAAGTATGGAGGTCTCAAGAACCCTGATAAGCGAGGTATGTTTCCTCACTTCCCTCAATTGTGATTTTGTGTGTGTGTGTGTGTGTGTGTGTGTGTTGGTTTTTACTTTCCCCCCTCTCATCACTTTGCATTTTGTTCTTGTTCTCATTTGTGTATCCTCTCTCATTCCTCTCTAATCCCCTAAAGGTGGTCTTTCCGTAAACTCACGTCCATCCCCTGAACAGCGCGTCCAAGGTGATTTGTCGTTTTGTGTATTAATCTTGCTGGTGCTCGACTTTTGTGTCTGCTATTATTGTTCACTGCCTATTCTCACAATGTGTCTTGCATGCGTGTGTTCAAGGCTACATATTCTTTAGTTACTTAGTAGGCGTAAAGCTGTGTAGTCTCCCTGTGTTCCTCTCTCTAACTTTCTTTTAGATCGGCTTGAAGCTAGAAAATCTGCGGCGGCGGCAGCAAATTCCGTGGCGTCTTCTAATGCTTCAACACCGGCTCCGTCTGACTCCTGTGGAGTAGGTCATCAAAAGGCCCCCTCGCATCACCCCCACTCGGAGACTAGTTTGGGATCGACGGTCTTTCGGTGTACACAACCAAACTGTACTAAGGAGTTCCGCAGCAAAGACAATCTTGCTACCCATCTTGCTCAGGTATTTGAGCTGGATAAATATTGCTTTTGTATCTATTAGTATGTGGTGAAAGGTTTTTGTCGTAGTCGACGTTTAACGTTACATCTAAATTTTTATAATCGTGCTTCAATCAGAATGTACTAGTCTAAGGTCAGAGATCCAAGTGAACGGATTGACTTGGCCAATAACAATTGTGTAGTTAGGTTAAGAGTCCACCAGAATTCGAATTACTCACCAGGAGAAGTTCCATGATACTTCTGCTCTCTGAGATGAATGCTTTAAAACACTTCCTTGATTGAGCGCAGATTAAGGTATTCTCAGCCCTCATAAATTAGAGTTAAACCTGTGTCACGTGATGTCCGGAAAATGATTCAAACTCTGTTCTTAAGACGTTTCAATAAGACGACTTTGTGTATTGTGGTGTCTTATGTAAACCTAGCTATATCGTTAATCAATTTTCCAGTTCATCTTGTTCTTTCTCTTAGATTCATAACCTATCGGCTTCGGAAGTTCAAAATTGCTTGCTGGCTACGCTCTCAGCAGCCACAGGGCTTTACCAACATGGTGCAGGTACTCAGGGTATTCACACGTCTCAAACAATTCGAATCATCCGTACCCTTTGTCCTCTTTTGCTTCGTCCGTCTGTTCTCGCACGTCGGCCTTCAGATTTGGCAAATTTAACTGCTCAGCAAAGATCGCCCAAGGATCCAGTCATTTCTTATGATGATCTTCTTGTTCGTCTTAAAACTCTTGGTTAGTTTGTCTTCTTTCAATTTTTTTATCGAAGCTACATTCTAATTTCTGGTGTCGTTTTTTCTAGCCAAGTCTAGAATTCCAGCTCTACGAGATCCCCAAGCAGTGCTAAATCGGAAGCTCCCTAATCGTCCCATCGCATCGGCGATTAAGAAACTCCAACAACGTCTGGGTCAAAATGAATTTTCGTTTCTCCCCAGCAAACGCCAAAAGGAGCCGAAAAATGGAGACAGCTTAAACGGAATTGAGTCACCCATGGAGAAGCGACCTCGCTTAGAAGCATCAGAAAACAACGGTACCAGCAATGGACATATATCGGCGGCGAACTAAACAGTTCAATCGCCCTCTGGATCATTCTTCCTCTAACTCCCTCTGTATATGGTCTATTCCTCCCTCCCTTCCCCTTGTTGTTTTCCTTCTCTTTTTAAAACCATATCTCTTTTTGTGTAACGCCTCTGTGAATGTATCAGCTTTAGCTTTCCACGACTTACTGCTACTTCTCTATCTCTATTCCCTTTCGTCACACGATAAAATAAACGTGTGTTTTGCAAGATGTCAGCATTTTTATCACCATTCTAGCACTAATATCTATACTCTTATGGTTGGACTAGGTATTGATTATGTAGGTGAAACGGACAAAAAAATGGGGATTAGTTTTGTCCCTATTTGTTTGTATTCTCTAGCACCAATGTAAGTAATTCCCCTAGTTTCATTTTGCTATTGATATTGATTAGCAGAAGCCGATGGACAGCTTGATCTAATTAAGAGTCTTGGTGATATTTCAGAGTATGGTTTTATATCACCAGCTATGGCTCTCTACGTTTCTCTCGTCTTTACTGCGTTGCAGCGGGGTTATCGATTTTTGTGTTTGCTTATTCACGTGCTGCGTTATGATTGGTTGGTTCACCCCCACGCACATACACATGCGCATGCGCATAATCAGACTTTGGCTAAGTCGTGACGTTTAAGAGAATCTCCGAAAATGGAATTAAGGGGGGGGGGGGGGGAGGGTTAAACCACTACTAACTGATGGTATGTGGCAGTTGGCTTTCCGAAATTCAACTTGGTTCCCACTTTCAAGGGCTGATTAGTCATTAATGGTTAGAGTATAGATTTTTATCAAAATATGCTTAGGACATGTATTGACACAAATTCGACTACAACTGTCAACTTTTATCACTTCTACAGCGGTTTAAAAAGGTATTTTGGCCTACTTCCTAATCGTCTAAATGTCCGATGGTTCCTCTGTCTAATGGGGCAACAAGGTCATTTCAATGTAGAAACTGGAATGGTATAATTAGGCCATTAACAAAGTATACGAGAAAATGGCAGAAACTCGATTACTATTTCCTTAGAGGCCCAGCGACCTAAAGTTAAAACCATCAAGATCGATGGTAAATTAATTATCCCTTATCCCCATTCTCGATCATTAACTTATCTTTCTCAATAGTGAAGTTCAAGAAAAATATTCGAAATTTGGTGCGTATCACGTTTGCGAAGTCATATAAGGATAGGGCGATTTCTGCTCTTCGCTGCTTTAGGTTTCCAAACATGTGCAGTTTTTACGAGGCTACTAAAGGTGAATTTCAAATGCTGTGTTAGCAACCATAGGCTTAGTGAAACTTAGTATGGACTTTTAACGCGAGTTAACGCAAATGAAATAAATATTTTAGTTGATGTGCTAATGTGTTCCTTTTTATAATTAACTACAGAAAGTGTAGTGAAGATTGAAGCATGCCACAATATTACTTCAATAGAAATAATATTTAGTAAGGGATAACAACAATCTGTGCGTTAGAAAAGATTTAATTTCTTTTCTTTCAATATTTATACTTTGGGTAAAAGGGCTCATAAAGGTGAAGCCAATGAAGTGGAAGTTTATCGTTCTACCCAAGTACCTGAAGCTTTTTCATTTATGTACGGGTTTAAAATTGACAACTTAAACTCAATAAACTCAAGTGATAAACTTATTTTAGTTTAAATTATCATGAAATTATAACAGTAATATCGTTAGGATAGGCTAATTAATCTTTTTGAGGAATTGGCTAGAGGACAAATCAATAACTGGTTTAATTAACGTTGAGTAATGCCTAATTTTGACTTCTTTTGGAATGCTCGATCCCTACTTTCAAACAGCGTCCAATTTATACCGTATAAGTTGACCCTAAATCCTTTTTTCGTCAAATTAACCAAGAAAACATTCTTTAAGGCGCTATTAAGGTTAGACCATATAATTTTATCACATTTTAACCCAACAGTGCCTATGAGAAATGTGAACCGAGTTTTAGATTTCCCATTGAATTATAAGGAGTAATATCAGCAGACCTAAATAATAGGAATGATTAAAAACCATCCTCATATTCATATTCTGCAATCGCTCATTGTTTAATAAATCATATAGCTCAATCCTTTTTAATAAGAATCGAAATTCAGTTCCCCATCATTTTAATCACAGGACGCAAATTCGACTGAGTTAATATAATTGCTTAGTCATCGATGAGGCTCTAAAAGGTAACGTACATTTCTGTATGGCGCGCGTGATTGTACTTGGCATCGGATGCCAATAGCAACGCTACCATTATGTGCATCTATGATCCATCCAAAACTTTACTCGTATGCATATTACCTGTTAAATACGTAGTAACAGTTATTCTGCTTAATTTATATCGATTTTACAGTTGCGACAGGTGCTTGCAAGGGTTCCTACAATTGGGTCATTCTGTAGCTTTCTCTGACTAGTCAACTACTTATTTTGCTCAGTCTGTATCAGAACAGAGTGATGGTTTGATTCATATAGTATAGTTAACTTAATTAAATACTTTTCTTTATTTGTAGTGGGTGAAGTAATTCCTTATGGAACAAAAGTGAAAATTGAGTCCCGTGACAAAGAAATGGTTTGATTCAAGAGTTCTTTAACTCAAAATAAAAGTTCGCACTCTTGAATAAAGAATATTATACTCTGGATGACTGTGGGATAGTAGTCGAGATATCAGTTGCGGACATTCTACTGAAATGCCTAGCCATGCATATTTAAAATTCACAAACCATAAAAGTTTGATTTCCGAAATATTCCCGTAAGTATACGGAAATACTGTTATTCTTACTCTCGAAAACGAGAGTATTCCTAGTCACAATAAAAGATCAATACTGTTCAACGGAATATCCATTTTTTGATTTAGATTCAACGTTACTTTATGTGGTATCTCTTTTGGAAAAAAAGTACCTGAAATCCAATTTTGGAATAAGACGAGAAAAAATTAAAGAAATCGAAGTATCGAATAGATTGAATGCGTGCATGCGGCTAATCTAACAGGTCAAAGTTCAAAATTTCAAAATGGCTTAGGAAATATAAGTGCTCAAAACGCCTTTTAATTGTATTTCGACTTTTAAGTTCCATATAACCTTGAGTACGACAGACACCTCATCCCAGTCAACTAGCATGTATCGTCTAACCCTTCTGTGTTTGGAAGGATAACAAGAATTGTTGAGCTTGCTTAAGAGAGTAATCACAGATTACATGGTACAGGCCAATATATACGGTACTACTTATGCAAACGAAAAAGCAGAAAGCAGTGGAAAATTTAAAAAAAGAAGTTTTATGAAGGGTGATAAAAGGTTGTTCTAGAAATAGGGTAGTTCGTTATGAAAAAGTTGGAGTTACGTAGTTGCGGTGCTCCCGAAGGGCCTATGTACCGATTCATATGGTTGCTCTTTTCAGACTTTCTTTTGATCATTGATCACAATATTGTGCAAACAAATTACCCTTCATTAACACTACGAATCATCATTGCGAGTTATTAATAGCTGCGAAACGGAACAACAATAGGAGTAACCCATGTTGAGCCAGAAACTGGTGGCTAATAGAACTGTTCGGTAAGAGCGGGAAACTTGAGCGGCATTGAGCATTAGTTTCAATTCCGACTTGAATGAAGTGGCAGCTGTAGCAGTGCGCCCACGACTGTAGATAGCATTTACAGACAGATTCATGGGACCAAATTGCAAGCCTGCAGCATAAATTTTTTTAAAATTACATCACTGCTTTATCTATTCTTTCAAATTGGCAGAAACTGATTGCAGTTAGGATGACTAATTCTATTTTTGACAACCCATGATTGAAGTTGCGTCTAAAATGATTTTTAATTGTAAAGGAGCCCGAACCCCATCGCAGAGTAGGTTAACTTTTCGGTTTTATGAGTTGTCAATCGGGAGGTTAGCCACGGGACCATTCCAGAAGAGGAGACTTGGTTTAGATATATTGCAGTAAGGGATGCGCGATAGACTTACCTCAACGTGGTGCACCCTGGGCAACGCATACGACAAAAAAGTCTGTAAACCGGCAGTTGACTTCTGACTTCAAACTCCCATGACCTCACTCTATGTTATATTCCTCCACTTTCACAGTGCTCACCTTACGCTACTCTCGACCTTTGTATCTGTCTCTTTAACATCTGTGAATTAATCTCCTGTCCACCCCCACTCGAATTTTTGTGGCTTTGATGTTCCTTCATTCTGTGAAGCCGAGGTTCAACTAAAGGAGCTAATGATAACTATCATAAAACTGCCATTTGATATAAATAAATATTTTCTTTGTCGTAGTACTAGTAGGCTATTTCGGTATGCCACTAAGGCCAGGATAAATATTTTCGCAAACCAGGATATAATTCACAGCCTCTTACTTCATGCGCTTCTTTATCGATTATTGACTTTCCATGACCATATCTGGAAGCGTTCGCGGCATAATTGTGAAATTGTCTACAATTGGTCTCTTTTAGTCAGATTCCGTGTAAAACTGCAGTTATTCGATGGAGATCTGCCCTCTAATTTGTAGATTAGTTCCATTCCTTCTTATCGGTTTAGGCGGCTGCATTCGAAGAGGAACTTCAGAATACTTCAAACAAAAGCTTCAAAATAACTTAATGCTAAACACACGTTTAAATTGAAATAGCGGAAGAGCCAATTGGAATTATTAAAACGACTCCAATAACTTTCCTTAAACTCATGTGATATTATAATATCGATTTCTGAAAACTATTAACGATACATTACCCCAATAACGAAGTCAAAGCCTGATCAACGATGAGTTTAGTCATTAAATGTCCGAGTAAACTGAGGCCTCGTGCAAGTGGCCTGAACTTAATGGCTGAGGACACATGGTGCCTCCAATCGATCGTTATGAATATTCACATTAATTGGAGAAGAGCGAAGTGCTCAATAGCCTTCATTGATGACTAAATCGCTTTGTTAAGTGAATAATTAAATTAACTTTTTTATGCATCAACGTTTAATTCTTTCCAAATCTTTAAATTCTGAATTTCATTTTTCGTGTGGATGTCAAAGAACAGTTCAAGGGAACTTAACAAAACTAACATCTTGATACCCATTCTTTTGTAACATCTCAACATTGAGTATTGTAGTGACCTTGTCTATTCATAATTTCTATTTTTATTTTCCTCCGTTTCCTCCTTTCTGCGCTTTCCGAGCTTACTACATTTCCGCCAAATATTCAGCTTTCTTCCATCGATCAGCCTAACAACTTGTTTCAAAGAGCTTTGCTCAAGTATTTTGTGACCTTTTCTACCTAGGCCATTTCTGACCTCTACCAATATCCACGTCTCTTTTTTTGTCAAGTTTTAGCGCAGTTTGACACAGCTGGATGGTGGATATCTTCAGAAGGTCTTTCTTCTACATAGGCTCCACAATGCTGGTATAATATTTATATCAAATGACAGCCTATATGATAGTTATCATTAGCCCCTTAAGTTGACTTCTGGCTTCACAGAGAGGAAGAACATCAAAGCCACAAAAAGTCGATTGGGGGAGGGGGGGTACAGGAGATTAATTCAAAGATGTAAATGAGACCGACACAAAGGTAGAAAAAAGGTGAGGTGAGTACTGTGGAATTAGTCGAATATGAAATGCAGTGGGGTTATGGTAGTTTGAAGTCAGAAATCAACTGCCGGTTTACAGACTTTTTTGTCGTATGAGTATTCGTTGCCCAGGGAGCACCAAGCGGAGGTAGTTCCATCGCCCGCCTCATGCTGGAAGAATATCAAATTATAGATTTTACTGACAACAGATATAGACGCTAGAGACAAAATTATCCATCGGAATGATACGCTGTTAGAATTATGGGTTAACAGGAAGGAATATTCGGCAGTTAACATCAATGGAACTCAGTATTTTTAGTGGAAAAAATATTTTAGCTAATTCATTCTCATTGATCTTGATTTGATAACCACTGTTTTAAAAGCAAGTATATTTGTTAAAAGAGCTTTTTAAGTTAGGTCAGTTAGATGACATTGGGATAAAGTCCACTTTGACGAACTTATTTAAATAGCTTCATGTGCGTTTTGGACCAAACTAATACCGAGAAAGATAATAGTTCAGCTATTTTTTCCACTTACCTACACAAAAGTCTCCTGAACCTGAGCCTTGCCTTTGTGCCCTCTAAATAACTCCTAAATTGATAATTATAGATGAAGATGTGCTTACTTGTCTTGCTTTAATCCGCAATACCTACTTGTTATGCCTGATCTCAGATAATTATAAACAATTTAATATAGAGATATATATTTAGTGAAAATCCTCTCTTCAACTTACAATGCAATATTATGAAGGGCTTTAGATTAACCAAGCCACTATTTTAAGAATACAGTCTTAAACCGACCAGTAAAGTTTAGAGGCTCATTAAGGTAAGTGTCCTGCCAAATAATATCATGTGCTAATAAATATTGCTGGCTTTTCTGGTAAGAATTAAGGTCTAAAGATCGCATATTTTGGCATTTCAGTATTCTCATACTTACTTAAAATTTACTATATAATGAATAAATTTAGAACATTTTATTGATTGTTTCGAAAAAAACACGAGGAACAAATAAGGAGGCTACAAATGGTAAAACATTTGGCAGACTAATCAACAAGTTGCGACTGTGTACAAATAGCAGTGGCAGATTTCAATGCTGACCGCACTTATTTAAATTAACTAAATTTCATTGGTGAATTAATTTTTAATTGGTATTCAATAAAAATTAAAATTTTTAACATTAGTGCAGCATCCAGGCCATTAAAGATGCATCTGAAAATATCAATAATGGCGTTTTGCCCACAAGTCTGTCGCTTTGCGCAGACAAAAAATCGAGGCTATTAAAGGTGAACTGCAAGTGCCGCAGAGATGTATTTTGAAGTGCGCACTGGTGTATTGAAACCCAGGCATCCGTATGCTCGATGAATCATTTAGGGATGAATCATCAGTTAGTTTGTGTAACCCCATAAGAAGCATCATAAACCTCTAATTTGTGCTCAGCATATGGGGCAGGGTGAACAACCTACAGTTTGTCTTCAAACATGCTTCTTCAAGTGATGACAGCAATGGTTGCGGAGTCTCGAACAGTATTAATAAATATTAGCTTAGGCCCAGTAAAGGCACTTCCTACTTAAATTGCTTTTAAAACAAATTATGAATATGATGACTAACTCATTGAACTTAAATATTTACTGTTATTGAATCCACATTTGGGAATTTGTAGCAACACTGTGGTGGGATTCTTAAAAGAATGTGTATGCAATCGAAAGAGGTTCAATAAAACAAAATTAACCGGCTAATTTATCCCGATTTTATGAAATACTTCAACTAGGAATGCTTCTATCATCGATATTGATAGTGCGAATTGGCTATTAGAGCAAGCTTGCCAATTAGAAACTTGAGATATTATTTCTTGTTCAAGAAAGTTTTCAAAATTCTCAGATAGTTATTTAAATAATCGCAGGGATTTTTTAAAACACCAAAGTTTATGAACCCTTTCTGAGAACAAATGAATCGAAAGTTCAATGCTCACAGCAATTAATCGATAAGTGTTGATAACAAATTTCAATATTTTGGTAAATTATCATTTTGCAAGTGTCACTAAATCACAACCGAGAAAAAAGTTGAACTATTGAATT